CACCCCCCCGGCCCCCCGGGCGCGGTGGCGGGGCTCCCCCCAGCCATGAAGTGGTGCCAGCTCCGCGGGCTGGTCTACCACTGGGAGCGGCTGCTGGAGATGGAGAGCACCCTGCGGATGGCCGTCGTGGCCGAGGTTGCCCAGGGCACGCTCCCGGCGTGCACTGGCTACGCGCCCGGCACGGTGCCGTAGGCGGGAGGTCGGCGCGTGCCAGGGCCTTGGTGGCCTTGGGTAGAGTAGGAGAGAGGGAGGGTGCGGGACGGATCCTGCAGCACCTCCCTGGGAGCGGCACCTTGCTGCGTCCCCCTCGCCCTGCCCGGCGGCAGGGGCTGGCCGGGGCAGGGGGGGGGTCCTGAGGGGCTGGGCGCTGTTCGTGTGCCATGTTAGGCTGTAGGGTCGACGGTGAGCGACCGCAGCGAAGGGGAGGGCAGCGGGGAGGCAGGAGGGCTGCAGGGACCAAGGATGCTCAGGGGGGCTGCGCTGTGCCCCGGCCTGGGACCACCCCGGGGCCTTGCCCCGGGACACCCCCTTGCAAAGGGTGCTCTCCCGGGCTGTGTCCTCGGGAAGCCGTCGTTCCCGGACCAGTCCTGTCCGTCCCGAGGGAGTCGCCGCTCTCTGGACTGGGTTTGCAGCTGAACTCGGCTTGCTCAGCCGGAGACGGCCACTGGAGAAGCTTGGGCGAGGCTGTTGCAGGAGATGGTGGGGCAAAGCAGAGCTCATCTCTTCCCCGGGGTCCCAGCAGGGAGGAGGCCAGCAGCTGCTCCAGGTCCCACGCAGCTGAGGTGGCCCTGGGCACCTCCAGGCTCTGGGGCTGGGGTGGGACGAGGTGGCTCTGTGGGTGCCTGTCCCAGCATCCCCGGGGGTCCCTGGTCCCCGGGGCTCTGAGCCCCTCTCCCGGCAGGGCTGCTGCGGCTCCTGGGGCTGCAGCCCCGGGGAGGGGACAGTCCCGTCCTGTGCCACCCCCATGCCAGGGGACTCGCCAGGGCTCCGGCCCCGCAGTGCTCTGCCCCTGGCCGATCTGCGCTCCGTCAGATCTGCTCCCAGCCCAAAAGATTCCCAAAGCAGTACCCCGCGGGGCAGGAGGGGGGGGGGGGTGTTTGTCCCCAGCCGGCTCCCT